ACCACCGCCTCCGACCTTTTTTTTTTAATTTTTAAACACAAAATTAATAAAAAATACCTTCTCGCCGGAAAACCGCTGTCCACCCGCCGCCTGTGCCGCCACTTCCTTGCCGGGCCGCCTCGACATCGCTCGGAAAGTTTTTTAGAGAGAGAAAGTGGAAGTAGAGAATTGAGAGAAGAAATTGTGTTTTTTACTTTGAGGGCAAAAGTGACAATTCACTCTAATTTTGTGGGCTTTATGTGGAGATTCGCGGGCGATGTTTAGCAATTGAGAAAAAAAGATGGCAAATACAAATTTTGAGCGGTCCGCTAAAAACAAGTCAAACTTTTGATTATTTTTAAATAATACAAACTTTAGTGTGAATTTGTTTTAAACGGGACATTTTATCTACAACCTAAATGACCGGTAAACTTTTTTTTTTATTTTTTGATAAATTAATTGAACAATTTAATTAACACATAATTAACATTTAAACCATAGTTACTTAATAATTAGGGAAAAAACCCACTCCTCCTCCCCACCACCAACCATTCCTCCACTCCGACCACCAGTCATTCCTCATCCACACCACAAGCCACCCTTCACTCCCCCACTTCCACCCCCGGCACGCCAGCCCAACCGCCTCACGCCGCCCCGCCTCGCCCTTCCGTCACCTTCCCCCCCCCAACCCAAACCACAATCACCGAATCCCCTCTCCCTCCTCACGAAAACCCACAAAATCCCCCTCTCTTCTTACGAAAACCCGCAAAACCCCCGATTGTTCCCTTCCCCACCCTCAAAAACCCTAGCTGGTACTCTAGTCGGGTTTCATTGGCGGGCGAAGGGGCAATTGGGGGTTCTTAGGGAAGGAGGGGGATTTCGTGGGTTTTTGAGGTAGGTGGGAGTCGAGGAAGGGAGTGGGTGGGGGAAGCCGGAAATGGGGTCGCCGGCGGCCGACAGGGTGTCGTCGGAGGGCTTGGCACCGGGTAAGGGGATGGGCAAGGAGAAAAAGGGGTGGCTGGATGGGGAGGGATTTTTTTTTTTTTTTTTAAAATAATAATAATAAAATTTATATCTTTTAAAAAATAAAAAACATTAAATAAAAAAATCAAATTAAATTGTCAAACCAATAAAACAATGACACTTGTTCCATATACCTATTAATCAAGTTACTAATAGGTCATAACTTGTTTAAACCGGATACCCCTCAGAGTTTGTATTATTTAGAAATAATCAAAAGTTTGACTTGTTTTTAGCGGAACGCTCAAAATTTGTATTATTTTTGACAATTTTTTTAAAAAAGATTTCATAAAATATTGGGATCATATCCATCCCAAATGGATTTTTTACATGCTCATGAAGTGAGTTGGATGCAATTAGTAATGAGTAGGTTGAATGTGTTTGCACTACACATTATGTTACCACTTACCACAAAACTATATACCAATCTTTTTCTTTTTTTTTTTTTGGGATTTACTATTATTACATTTCCTTGTGTTATTAATGAGTAGCATCTACTCAGATTATTCCTTAAGATTATCCACATATTCTGTACCTCGGGATTGACACTACAGTGAAGGTCCCACTCACCTAGTCCATATCTAATCAGGTACTACCACGTTTCAGCTAATCCACTGAAATAAAAATGCAGTTTTTTTTAAACTAGACATAAATTAACGTAATCAGTTAAATGTAAGTAAAAATTTAGATAAAGCCAGTCATTGAATGACACGTCAGTGACGTCCCAACTGTTAATTTTTATAACATGGTGAGCTGAGCTGTAACATCGTGCTTACTAACTGGGGTAGAGCTTGAGATAATCCTAATTAATTTATTAATTAACAAAAAAATCAATTATTAAATGGATAAAATCAGACAATTTATTTTAATAAAAAAAACTTGTAAAAAAGAAAAAATGCACAGTTCCCTAAATAAAGGGCAATAAAAAGAAAAAAAAAAGAAATTAAAGATAAATTAAAAATAAAAAATAAAAAATAAAAAAAGTAAAGGGGAAGAGAATCCGGCTGTAAACTTGGACGCTAATGCACGAGTCGCAGCGACAAACCTGCTAGATCGATTCCTAAGGAGTTGAATTTAAGATCAATTTTTGTCTATTTCTTATTTATAAAAAAATAATTATTAATTAATGTTTCTCATATAATGAATTATTAGGTTACTCTTATAACATTTCAAAAAAAAAAAAAAATTACTTATATAAACAAAATAAGTTTCATCCCTTATGAAAGAATAAAAGGTTACTCCTATAAACAAATGTGGTCACATCATATAGCTAGCTAACCACACACAAGACTTGATGTACTCTATTTCATGTATGTAAGATATTAAAACCTTTATTTATATTCCTTAAAAATATCTTCCAAATTTTACTTACTTGGTAGCGTATAATGTGTTATGCTAATGCTTATTTGTCGTTGTATAATGAATAACACTTAACGAAATATTGGAATTCCAAGTGTTGTTGTCACATGGGGTAAAAAAAGCTCAACTTTATATATTAGTTAGTTTAGTTTTATGTCTGATCAGTTATATGATGTTTAGGTCAACATGTTAAAGTCTTAAGCAAGATAGAAGGTTAGCCTTTCAAATTTCACCAAATTGATTGTTTTACATTAAAATTTTAAACATACTCAAGATCACATTAGGACAACTTAAACAGAGGTTTTAATATTATTATATGTATAATAATAATATTATTATAGAACATAATAACATGATCTGTCGTGGACACTTTAAATTAGCTTAGCATAGATAATTTGATACAACTATATATGTTTTGCTACAAAAATTTTCAGATGCTACTAGGGAAAATAAATTGAATAGAAGAGGATATAAATTAAATATACACCAAATCTTTCATTCTAATTTGAGTTTAATTCACTCTAATTTCAAATAATCAAACTTATATTATGAGTTTATAGGTATCACACATCAATATTAAGATTAATATTAATTAAATTAGCACCATATTTATATATAACATTCCATGCATCTTCAAAATGCTTTTCGATCCCTAAAAGCAAAGTTCGACAGTCGAGTGCATTCAACTTTCAGTGGTTTCATCTCTCAAGCACTTTCATTGCACATTGGCTTTAGTGTCATTGTAAGTTTCATCAACCTGCACTAATATCAGTTTGCACTCCATATTGAGGTTTTCAATTTGTTTGGCCTCACTTGTTCTATAATAAGGATTTGGTAAGATTTAATTAGTTGTCCCGGCTCCAAAATAAATGATATGATGCAAGACATTCCTGGTTTATTTTTATCATTCATTTCGTTCCTCCACTAGTAAGTGTCAATACAAGTCCTGCTTGTTGGTTTTATAAATTGGATCATTTTAAAATTCTCTTTGCTATAACTTCTCATCCATACAACAAATTCAGTAATTAGTAATCTATATTTTGTTTGATAACTATTCCGTAAAATCGAACTCAATATTACCCTTATTTGCATTGTGTTAATTTATATGAGGTTGATGTAAAGGTAGGGTATAGAGGTTATTTTTAGAAAATTTAGATTCTCAGTTAAATTATTGAGTGAAATATATACTTATTATGAGATTGGATTAATTGGCTAGTTTTTCGAATTTAACATATAGTTTGAGAGTTAAATTTTACCAATGTCATTTTACATGAAATTTTTTAGACATATTTTATACTGAAAAATTCAAGATTATCGTCGCAGGTACAATTTCAATGTTATTGAAAACAACAGTAATACTAGTATTTTTTTGAGAGCATAATAATTTGATACAACAATATATGTATTGATACAATTCAAAATTTCAACTATCGTTATTATGGCTATATAACTTCTTGTAGTAGATAAAAATTATGTTCAATTGCATAAAAAATTTAATTTATATAAATAATATTGCATCACCTGTACATGGAGTAAGAATGCAAATCAATTTACTTAAATACATTTGCATGAACTGATTTCACTTATTTAAATTTATTTATATTTATTTATTATCTCCATATTTCTTATTATGTGCAATAAAAGAATATTATATATCTCAAAAATAATATTCATTTATTACATATAATAAGGTAGTATCTAAATTTACATGTAAATTTACTTGTACTTGCCGATCAAGACGACTAGTCTAGCCCCTATGACATCTAACTATCAAAAAGATTAGCCAATGTCAAAATATATATATATATATTTTAATCATAATTTATGATTCATACATACAATAAGAATAAATTAGCATGTGTAATCTTATTAGATTCTCCTTATTATAGGTTTTCCATGTATCATAATTTTACACACACATACACACACACACACACACATATATAGCCGAAGTTATTCATAGTAAAAAATGTTCATTCAAAACCGTACAAATGCAATGTGAGCCAAATTTGTAGGAACAGAGTGAATACATGCATATATATAAGAGTGAACCCAATGGTTGCCCACAACCACTGTGATTATCACTTATTTTATTAATTTCTATCTTCCACTTCATCTATAATCACTCTTATACCTATTTAATAACCAATGTACCCCAATGATTGACCACAAATTTTTGGTTATATATTTTCTCTCTCCTACTTTTACCCAACCCCACCACACAATCTCCCTCCTTCACTCAATGACCAAGCAAGTTGGCACTACTATTTCACTCAATGACCAAGCTTCATTACCTTTTTTTTTTTTTTTTTTTTATTTGGTTTCAAAAAAAAAAAAAAAAGTTATTGCTTTTTTTTTTCCCCAAAAATTTCTCGTTATTTTTTTAATTATTTTTCCACATTCTCTCTCCTAATAAGCACCCTAAATTGTTAACGACTAGCTATGCTCTAATAGTAGATAGGGCAAGTAACAAGGGTCAAAAGAATTACTTGTAGTAAAAAAGTAACCATTATATTGTGATACTGGTTAAAATTTGTAATTTCTTAATATTATATGCAATAAAGGAGATTATATATAACAAATTAAATGACATCTTATGTGTTAACTATGTTCAATTGTATAAGAATAAAAGTTAAAATAAGAGTGGCAAATCGAAAACTGTCCGTAATTAAAATAGAGAAACACAACTATTTAGACAATAAAAAAAAGTGATTTCTATACTTCTAGCACAAAAAATATGCTATCAAGAATTAAAGGTAGGCACACACTTACATACAATATTTTTATTACATAAAAAATAAAAAAATTGGAAGCAACAATACCTACTTGAAACTCAAGTTAACCCCTATTACTAGCTGTAAAGATAAACAAAAATATGGTCCACCCTTTAACTATCTAAAGCACAACGTTTTAAAAATTAAAAAAAGTGTCAAAATTTAGCTTCAATGACAAAAACTGGTAAAACAAGCAACCCTCCTCTCACTAAAAAGCACTTAAAAATCAAAAGGGCATCAAAGTATTTTCCCCCACTTTAATTTAATTGAGTTTTTAACTAATCAAATTAAAATTGATTTAGTAAGAAAAATGGAGTATTATTATTTTTAGTAGAAATAAAAGAAAGTGGAAGCAATATAGAGCAGCTGTCCACAAGTCCCCTTGAAACGCCAATTCACTCTCTCATCTCCCCACTCCATAAGTCTCTCCTCACCACTTCTTCCTCTCTCCTCTTTTTCTCTCTTCCACAACTCTTACCCTTTTTGTTCCAAAACACATTTTACACACTTCAATTCCTATCTACTTTCTCTTCTTCTTTTGCTCTAATAAACCTCTCTACCATACACCACACCACATCATTTTGTGCCCATAACAACAATGGAAGCGTCTTCGGGTTCCGAATTCGGCCATTTCGCCCCTTCTCACCACCACCTTATTAACACGCCCGAGAGGCGACTCTCTTGTAGTGGTGACCCTTTTATTGTTGAGGACCTTCTTGATTTTTCTAATGATGATAATATTAATGGTGGTGTGGTTCTTCATGATACTAATAATAACAATCTTAGCAATAATAATAATAATAATAATAATGATAATACTAATGTTAATGCCTCTTTTGATAATCATCATCATCCACAACACCATCTTCATCACTCTAATAATTCAGATGATTCTACCGTTGTCACCCCCGTTGATAGCTGCAATTCTTCCTTCTCCGGTAACAATGACTCCATTTTCCCTCCTGCCGGGGATATTGGGTCTCACTTCTCCGGCGAGCTCGGTGTTCCGGTACGTTTTATTTCACTCTTTTATACAACTATGTGTTGTTATTTTGTTTTCAGAGGGGCGTTTTAAGGATGTGTAAAAGTCATGTACAATGGTACCGGCCCACGAGTTCTTAGACAGAACTCGAGGGCCGGCATTGTTAGACATTTTAAGAATTATAGCCATTATAACGTATTTAAATTTTTTAATTTAGTTATTTCACTTAAGTAATTAACAATATGTTCTTATTTATGAATTTTTATAAAAGGGTTTTTTAAATAAAAATAAAATTGATGAATTTTAGCTAATTTGAGGGATAATAAGGCTAAGAATTAAGACTTGAGTTTGGAATCTTGTTTGTTTTAATTGGTAAAGTATATAGTGTTATATGGTTTAGACAATGACATTAAGGGTTTAATAATCATGAATTCTTTAATGTTGGGAAATTTGGTTCTTTTTTTACTTTTTATGATGAGAAATTTGAAGTTAAGGAATTTTACTAGCTAGTTTTGTTCTTTGTGCCAATTTCTTTTGGAAAATTGATGAATTTTTCTTGTCCTTTAACGTCTTTATCTAGAAAAGGGTGGGGGTGAAGAGAGTCAGTGAATGCATTATGAACGAAGTAATCGTTGTGGGTCCATTGATTTTGTACTCCATGAATAAAGGGAGAAAAAGCCAACGAATATTCAATATATGAAGCCAAAATTTTGATTATATGATGATCAATTTATACTGTAATATTGTTTTTATCAATTTTAATTTACTATGAACTTAATTTATCTTTTGTTTATGTTTGGGCAGTATGACGATTTAGCTGAGTTAGAATGGCTCTCAAATTTTGTGGAGGAATCATTTTCGAGTGAAGACTTGCACAAATTCCACCTCATTCCTGCCATGTCAGCAATGAAGACCCGAACTGATGATGTCTCGGAAACCCGGTATTACCCGACCGAACAAACCCGGCCAACACCGCTCCCGACAAGCCCAATTTTTAGCCCGGAGATGGCCGTGCCCGGGAAAGCCCGAAGCAAGCGCTCCCGTGCTGCCTCGTGCAATTGGGCCTCGCGCCTCCTTGTCCTTGCCCCGGGTGGTAACGAGCAAGTTCCAGTTGCAAAGCCCGCAAAGTCTGTCGGTTCAAAGAAGAAAGGGTCGAGTTTAGGTGGGGTTGGGCCCATGGTGGACTCGACCTCCGGGGGTGAGGTGAGGAAGTGTTTGCATTGCGCGACTGACAAGACCCCACAATGGCGTACTGGGCCCATGGGCCCAAAGACGCTTTGTAATGCTTGCGGTGTCCGGTACAAGTCGGGTCGGTTGGTGCCAGAGTACCGACCCGCTGCAAGCCCGACCTTCATGCTAACAAAGCATTCGAACTCCCACCGAAAGGTGACTGAGCTCCGAAGACAAAAGGAACTAATGAGGCAACAACAAATGCAACAACAACACCACCAATATCAACAACAACTCATTCATCATAATCCAAATACTAGTAGCAATATGATGTTCGACCCCTCTAATGGTGATGATTATTTGATCCACCAACATATCGGGCCAGACTATAGGCAACTCATATAGTCGAGTGATCAAATTATGCTAGCTAGCTAGTGAGGGTAACAAAGAGGACTTAAAATTTTAATCTTAGACGAGTTTGATAATAGTAGCTAGCATTTGTCTAGGTTTTTCTTCTTTTTTTTCAAGAAACAATTTTTCCAAGTTCAATTTTCTTTGGTTCATTTTAAAAAATTTTGAAAGCAACATTCGAGCAAGGGATTAAACCCTAGCTCAAAAGAGCATAGAAAAAAAGGAAAAAAATAGTCAGGGAGTGCATTGCTTTTTGCAAATTAATCGTTGTTGTAGCCTTTTTTTTTTTTTTTACATAATTATAATTCATAATCCTTTATTTTTCCTTGCCAAATTTGGCAAATTTTAGAAACATTATTTCCCATGCATTGGCAACTTTGTACTCCGTTTGGTTCGATGATTAGCTTGACTAATCTTTGGACGTGCATGAGCATTAACAAGTCAAGTCTTGCCACTTCCCCCCCCCTTTTTTTTTGGGGGGGAGGGGGTTGTTATTAAATATATTAATAAAAAAGGAAAAAATAGTGTGCTTCCACTAAGCATCACATGATCACTAAACCTAACCTAATAAAGAAAGCAACCTTTGATGAAGCACAACTTAAATTGCTAATTTAATTCTCTCAAATTCTCAACTAGCGGGTAATTGACTTGCCAACTAAGCCCCTTGTGATTTCCAATTAACACTAGTCATAGTACTATAGGCTTTAACTAATCTTGTAAATAAGTGGTTGATACATTATCGACACAATTAATTGTCAAAGTTTCACCGTTAAACATACTTGTAATTTTCAAAATTCTCATAAAACATTACTATTATTTAACTTGTGCACTACATATGTCGGTACATGAGCCATATTATCACTAACAGAGTTGCACATGCGTTAGATATTATTACGTAATAATTTATCTTAAATAAATCGACCCGAGCATGTGAGATGCGCAAATCCTATCACCATACATATATAATTTAAATTAGAGAGGTTCATGCGCGTAAGATAAAATTATAAATTAAATATCGTCGGCAAACAATAGGAAACTTAAAAAAATGAAAAGAGAAAAAAGAAAGATGGATGGTAGTGCAACACCTATCCATCCACATTCCGTTATGGTGACTTAAAGGGGTGATGGTAGAATCAGAGGGCAGAGCAGGGTGAAAGGGGCCCTTTGTTAAGGGCGCATTGAAGCGACATCATGTGCATCTTCTTTAAATTACAAGTAACTAAGTAAGTGTCCCTAAAGAAGTAAGTGCAAAGGGGACCTGCCCCCCTCCCATTAATTATTATTTTCGAGTTCGAGATATTAACGATTTTCCTTTATTTTTTCATTTCTCAATACGTGTATTACTTTGACTTCTTACTGTATTGAATTTAAACATACTTTATGAGTAAAAAGTGAAGATAAATGTCATTATTTTAAGCGTTGATGGGTTAATCTTGGTGCATATTTTCATAATATAACATTTTTAACTTTATATAATGTTAAAGGACCAACTCAACAACGCTCCCTTACATGAGAGCCCGTTGGGCTTGAAGTGTGGATGCAACATAGGCCCTCTTCATACCCAACGCTTAATATTCCACTTAAAAGTGGGGGTGGATGAGATTTGAACCCGTGACTTTATGTCATACTTGCTCCGATACCATGTTAAACGACCAATTCAACCAAAAGTTTAAGCTAATGGTTGAGACCCAAGATCATATTTTACACTCTATCGTATAATTAACGTAATAATAGTTTAAATTGTATTGCAATGTAAAAGTCAAAGTGACTATGGAAGATGGCTGGATTGAGAAATTAAATAGGGGAGGTATATATAAATTGATCAGATTACAAGTCCAAAGATTCTTGGTCATTTTTTTTTGTATTTTTTTTTTTTATTTTTTATATTTGATTGAAAGTAAGATATTAAATATTTTACATTATTATTGTGAAAAGAAAAACGTATGTTTAAAATTACATTAAAGTACCCCTTAAATAGGTGATAAAGGTTCAAGAGTTTGCACTTAATTAAACTTCAGAGATACTACTTGAGTAATTAATGCTAATTGCTTTGTAGAAGGGGAATTGTACGTTAAAAAAAAAGCGTATTTCAATGTTTTTGACTGATAAGATATGCATTATACAAATTACTATTTAATCTAGAAAATTGAAACGAGCTGAGTTCTATTATAAAAATATTGGGTTTAGAAATTCGTTTCTAAGGAAGAGGTCATATCCTTATATTTCGACAAAGTTGAAAACAAAAGTGAACGCTTCGAAAGGCATTAAGAAATTTTCTCAATGATAAAGCTTTAATTTTTCTCACCCTAGAATCCAAGTATTCTTAAACATGGTCATTGTACCTTTCTTAACACTAGAAAGGGAAAAAAAAGAAAAAAAAAGAGACAAAGACATGTACCAAATGATTTGTCAATTCAATTGCTTGGTATTTTAAATAGAAGCAAGGGTTGGCGAAGAGAGTGCAAAAGAATTAAGGTTAGAAGTTCTTTTTCAAGGGTTTTAAGCTAATTAGCTAAAATTATAGCATGAAAGTGATGCATAAACTCCCGCAATCATGAAAATAGTTTGTAGTTAAGAATTGGTAGAAAGATATGCGAGACCTGCCTCTTGTAGCCGACTAAATTTGTTGGAAATTATACAAAACTGTATACATTATCCTTAAAACAAGTTTTTTTGGGGTCCCTCGTTTTTTTAATAAACTATGCTTTTTTTTTTTCTTTTTTTTTTTTCAACTATCACTTCTTCGAATTTTTTTTACAAAGATTTCAAATTTTGATCTTAAAAATAAAGTGTAACCATTTATTTTTTTAAAACTTTGTCATATGAAAAGATCAAGTTTTGTATTAGAATATGCCTTAAATCAGTTAACCCCACTTGTTATTTTAGCTACGATTTTATGTTTTCAGGCCTCTTTTCAATCTAATACTCCCTTAGGATTTAACCTAGCAGTTTGTTTTGTAGTCTATGAAACTCTTCTCTCACTTATCTGTAAGACATAGCTAGCTTATCATTAATGAATCACGTAAAATCTATATATGATTTTTTTTGTTACTTTCGTTAATCTTTCTTATATCTGTCATAATAGGAAGAATAAGTAAGAATTAATGAATATCATTCATTAAGTTGAACTAACTAGGACACTAAAAGCTAGAGTATATGATGAAATGTCGAAATATAGGAACATATTTATCGATTTGTGTAGACACACTGTTAGAGTACCATCACATCAAATAAAGTGTACGGAATCATATAATCTAGAGATCCTACCGAAAACTAACCGACTGATGCTTTAGAAATCCTAAAGGTTGTGATTGAGCTGATAAGTGGAGTGATATCACTTTATTCAAACAAAAATGAAATACACATAAACGGCATAATATATTGCTACATGATTGACCCTCAACACTTTACGGCATGTACTATCTCCTTCTCGAAATATCTTCATTAATTTTTTTCTTTAATTTTTTTTGACGTGGGTGTTATTCAACTATTCATTACTCCTCCGTTTTCGATTAATTAAAACACTTGCCTTTTTTTTTCTTAGCTTGACTATCTTTTATTGCTATTACTTTGATATAACATAATGTTAATAAAAATTTGATATTTCAATAATATAGATTAAGATAAATCCAGCATCTTACTTACACATATAAACATGATCAAAGTGGTGAAAAAAATTAAGTATGTCAATTATTTAGAAACGGAAGGAATATAAGGTTTGAACTAGCTACCATAAAAAATAAAAAAAATAATAAAAAAAACACCGTCATTTCACTATTCTATATTGGTATTTGCTTAAAAATTACTTGTTTGATGTATCACTTATTTGACTAGATAATTGTGTGTATTGATGATTTGACTTGGTTATATGAGTTTGGTACTAGGAATAGATGTGTGTATAAACTCTAACGATGTATATATGGTATACTCAAATGTTAGCTATTAGTTGTTATAAAATGAGTCTAAATGACTAACTTTCTTAATAAAATCTAAAAGTCGCTCCAAAACGTAATCTTCCTCGTTAGGTTTTTCATTTTGGTTATGAAAGCAATTTTCTATCTAGTTTGAAAGTCATTTACCAAATGTAGTATTTAGAGCTATTTAATCTAAGAAATAGAAAAGCCAAAACCAATTAAAAACCTAGCAAAAAATTATACTTCGTAAGTTCGTATTATGTATTAACAAGCTCAATTTTCTATTTTGATCGATTTTAGGTTAGAAAATTTAAATGATAAAAGATACGAAAACAGCTGAAGATGATGGGTTTGGAGTGTGATTAATTAACATTGTTAAGATGCAATTGGGAGAAGATATTGATGAATTAATTTGATCGGAAAAATTTAAAAAGAAATGAAAGATAACAATTGATGAGAAAGGGAGAATATAGGAAAAGAAGATGTCAATAGCATGAACCAAGAATCTATCTTGTATGAGCATCCTCATAAATCCTTTTCCTCCACGCACTTTTATAGCTAATTACTCTTACAAACTCATTTTTTTCGCGTCACTTTACAGTGTTCCCATAATTAACCTCAAAATTCATACAGTAGCTTTTTTTTTTTGAGTGAATACTAATTTTCCACACTATTATTACTACATTATACAAATATGTCCTATTCTATATAATGTTAATATAGGCCATTTACAAAACATTGAGTGATGTAAAAACTGTCGGTGTAATTAATAAAACTAAAAGAAGTACATTGGAAAACTAACCCAATAATTTGTACACAGAGGAAAAATAAATGAAATTAAACTAAGAAAAAAATAAAAATTGACCAGTAATCACCTAGATGATGATTGATTTAAAAAAAAAAAAAAAAAAAAAACCAGAGTTTTACCCCATGAGTTCAGAGAATGTTAGTAGCAGAGTTATTCATGATTAACCTCTGTTTTTAACATTGTTTTCCGCTTTCCAAATCAAGCTGCCCCAGTTGTTAGCATGATTAACCTCTTTACTTAGTTTACACACTTTTCGAGGTACATACATTATAATTAAATTAAAGAGAGAATCAAATTAATTAATTAAATTAAGTTAGATTAATATTGGCAAATGCATGAGATGATGTGAGAAAGAGGAATATAATTGCACTCTGCACGGTCAGATTAATAATATAGTTTAATGTTAAAATCATATGACCATATCATGTTAGGGTAGTATATAATCGTTACAGGATCCTAGGCAACAGCTACACTGATCCATAGGCCAATTCTTTATTAAGTATGTATAACTAGCTAATTTCAATTGTTTTATTTTTTTAGTT